GAGGAAGAGGAAGAGGAGGAAGAGGAGGAGTTAGTGGAGTCACTGCAGGCTGTCGTTCCAGAGCCTCATGGAGAGGGTTAGTCATGTGAAGGAAACTGGTTGAATGCATTTGGATGAAGCTGAGAGCTTGTGATGGGATAAAGAGAAGCACCTGTATGACGGCGCGGGGGCTCTGGGAGAAGAACCAGAGAGGAAGTCCGAACAGACTGAGCAGCGCCGTCTTGGTCTCGTAGGTCTGAGAGCATCTGGAGCTGAGGATGCTGCCCCCTGCAGGGCGGAGGAGGAACAACACCGTTAGAACACCACAGTCAGAACAACACCGTCAGAACAACACAACACCGTCAGAACAACACCGTCAGAACAACACAACACCGTCAGAAGAACACCGTCAGAACAAGACCATCAGAACAAGACCATCAGAAGAACACCGTCAGAACAACACCGTCAGAACAACACCGTCAGAACAACACCGTCAGAACAAGATTCAAGGCTTTTAGTGTAGTTATGTCAATGAAAGTCTGAGGTCCCAGGCTCCTCCAACAGAGCAACACTGATCAAAGTGCAAGTCAAAACAAATAGAATAGAAATAGTGCAGAATAGTTTCTATACAAGTCATTGGAATACTGATATACGAGTAGCAGCCAGATGAATGTTCTGGATGCTCTCCACAGAGTTCAGGTGTTTAACAGTCTGATGGCCTGTGGGATGAAACTGAGTCTGGTGCTTTTAGTCCTGGTACCCGTCAGCTGCTGGTTACATCCCATTAAACAGAGTATTATGTAACATTATGAAACACACCTCCGGACTCCAGGGCGTAGTCTGCACGGCCGGTTCGATCCTGAGAGAAGATCCTCAGCGCGTCCTGCACCATCTCACGCACCTCCTGCAGGAGAACAACACCCTCACTGTTATATCTTTATTTATATATGGGGAGGGAGGCTGTGGCGTAGTGGACTCGTACGTTGGTGTTCGGAAACTCGTTAAATGCATTTGGATAAACCTGAGAGTTAACGCGTGAAAACCACTAAACTAAAACCTCGTTTTTAGAGTCATTTGTATTTTTTCGAGTAAATGTGAGTTTTTTTACTCAGAAATACTTCTAGAAAGAGCAAAAACTCACCAATATTTTTCTAATTTGAGCTCCATTTGAATCTGTTTCTCACCTCCTTAGTGACGGTGGTTTCCCCCCCCGTGGTCCCTGCTTGGTTCAGTCCGTCCTCTCTGAGTTGCTCTCTGCTGATGTTCTGCAGGTCTCTGATGTCCTGCAGGACTCTGGTCTCCAAAGAGGACAGCGACCCCTGCAGGTCGGCCTGGCTCACATAGTGCTGCTGCAGCCACTGAAGGAGGGGCTGCGGGGGGGCAGAGTCATCTCCTGAAGCCCCGCCCCCTACAGTCAGCTGGTTCCCGTACAGAAGGACCCGGACCTCCTCCCGGACCTGAGCGGAGACCAACTCTGAAACCTGACGGAGGAAGATTACACCTCACTATATTGGAAATCATTTAAAAGTATCTGGCTTTGAATTTCACACATTTCCTGCTGCTGTTTGACATTAACAGATAAAATGAGGTTAAAAAGTACCTGGAGTTTGATATAAACTACAATTTATAGGTAGACGAGTAGCCCAGATGTTATAAGGGTAGCTTAAATAAGATTAAAAGTAGTCTCTACATGGTAACAATTCCCTAAATTTGATTGAAGAAATCGTACATATTACAATTTCTTCTTAAGAAATCGTAATATGATAAGTGGCTTTAAGATATAAAGTAACTGAAATGTAATTATTGTAGCCTAAATATGATTATAGGTTGCATTAATTAGCTTAAATGTAGTTTGATTTTTTTTTAAAGTGCTGTAATATTATTAAAAATATATGAGTGTAACACCTGGTGCACTTCGGGGCGAAAAGTACGGCCCCGCCCACTTTTGGAGAAAAACAACGCTATCATTTGAACGGCGGTCGATACACATTCTGAAGTTTTTACCAATCCGATCAGAATGATTTGAAAACCGTGGATCTTCAAAGAGCCCGATTACGATGGCCAGACAGGCAAACAATGACATTAAACCATTTGAAATCGACTATCGCTCTCGATATATGGTTACTGCTATATTTAACCATATATCGAGCCCGATCGTCGATTTCCAATAGGGTTAGGGTTAGGATTTTATTTTGAAGCAGCTTCAGGAACAGAGAGGTCAGGTTCGTCGGACCTCTCACCGTCTGCTGGATGTTCTCCAGGTGTTCTTGGTTCTCCAGGTGTTCTTGGTTCTCCAGGTGTTCTTGGTTCTCCTGACGCTCCGACAGATCCTCCACCTGCTTCCTAACCTCCTGCAGAGCCTCCTGCAGCCGCGTCACCTCCGACAGCAATGCATCATGGGAGTGACGGTCCACCCCCCCACTGCAGGAAGACACAGTTAAAGTGAGAGCGTAACTTTTAGAAAAATAATCACTGGTCCCCGGCTTGAGCTTGAATCTCAGGATCCATGTATCTGTGATCCTCTCCAGAATGGAAGTAGTCATCACATACAGAGCATCAACTAGTTCCTGAACAGTGTCCTTCACATGCTGATATCCAAGAGAGGGAGTTCCACAGTCACAAGATGGAGGAATAGAAAGCAGTATTCAATGTTTACTTCAGATTAGCTCCACGTCAGAAATGAGCATGCTTGTCATATGTCTCTCTCCATAGAGGCTGAATCATCATGTTAATCACATAGCTATCATATGCCTCAAACAGTCCTGATGCTCTTCTAGGTAATCACACATCCTGTCATGTTCTCAGCTACAGTTGGGATACCTTTGTTAGCATGTTGACTCATGTTGGAGGAGGACATTCACAACAGTAACGTATTCAATAAAGAAGGGAGAGGAAGGAGACGTTATGTTCTCCTGTTGGTGTTAAATATGGAACAAACTACAGCTGACTGAAATGGAGATGAGGAGGGAGAGGATGAAGGTTACCTGAGAGAAACAGGAAGTGTTGTTGATGAAGGAGAACCAGCAGCAGCTTCCTGTCTGCACTGCAGCTCCTGAGAGGAGAAATACAAAATAAATAAACTTCCGTTAAGAGTAATATGATTAAAGGTCACCGATCAGGCTATTTTTAGGCAATAGCACAGATACAGTGGGGCAAAAAAGTATTTAGTCAGCAACCTATTG